TATCGCACCAATGGTCTGAGTAACCTCTTGCCTGAGCAAGGACTCGTGAGATGGGTCCCTGGAAAGGGACAGGGCAGGGGTGATGGGGGAAGGCAACGGCATGAATGGAATGGTATAACCAAGCCTAATTGTTTGAAGGACCCATTTGTCGTTGGTGATGTAGGCCCATTGATGGAGATATGGTCTCAAGCGGTGGTGGAAGACTGTCATTGTAGCACACAGACCAGAGATAGTGGGAATGGTTCACAATCCCTCAACAGGAGCGTCAAACCTGCTGTATGTTACCCTGTTGGGTAGACGCTTTAGGTGGTGGATGTCTTTGTTGTTGGTGTTTGTCTACTCCTTTGTTGTTCGTGAGGCCTGTATGGAGGAGGCTGCCAGAGAAGGGGTCTTTGCTTTTGGTAGGGAGTGAATTGTTTCCGGCAGTACGGTGGTGTGTACATGCCCAACATTTTTAAAGTGGTCCTGGAATCTTTCCCTGAGAGGAGGAATTGGTCCATCTTATCAGAAAAGAGATGTTGCCTGTTGAAAGGTAGATCCTCGACTTTTGATAAAGTCGGTCCTTAGGGACAGACGACTGCTGCAACCAGGATGCCCTGCGCATAACGACCGATGTAGCAGTCGTGCACACTGCAGTGTCGGCTGTATCCAGGGCAATATGTAAAGCTGTTCTTGAGGCTGCATATCCTTCCTGAATTACTGCCTTCAAGATGTCCCGTTTAGCCTCTGTTAAGTGCTGAAACAATTATACCAAATTTGGCAGGGACGAAATACTTTTTATCTGTCTTTTTATTCGTGGGCGGGGTGGATGCGGGCAACAGCCCACATATCATCAGATATCTGCGGGCAACTGCCAAATATCATCAGATATCTCTAGAATGGCTTCACCTAACAGCAATGAGATTTTTGGGCTGATGAGACTGCTTGATATTACGGAGAAGGTGATGTTGTTTCTGTTGCACATCCCCCATTTGCACCTTTTGGCTCTCTGCCACTCTTTTAAAAAGCTCTTGAAACTGGTGTAGGTCATCCGAAGGTGAGGTGTCTCCTTGAAAAACTGCGTCGTCTGGGGACGAGGAAGATTGGTCCGTAGGCGATCCATCAGGTTCAGGCTCTCGAGTGGAAAGAGATGCTTGTGTGGCTCGAGTGTGTGAAGGAGACCCTGATGGAGTTGGTGGTCTTGAAGATGGGGGAGGAGCAGGATGCTCCCCGGTGAGAGAGGAACGGGAGTGCGCATAAGGTGACCGGTGGTGATGAGACGACAACCTATGGTGATGATAGGGTGATGCAGAACACCGGTACCATCTATCCGTCAGAATGGGTCGAAAGCATGGGTGATCTTGGAGACCGTGTCCTCTCTCTATAATAGACGGTGTAACTGGATGACGGATGATCATGACGGGCCAGTACGGGAGTACCCAGAGTACTCTGGGGATGGTGACCGTACTTCAGGCGAGAATTCTGGGCTTGGTGACATAGAAAGTAGTTTCTTGGTTCTGTGATGGGTAGGTAATGCCAACAACTGTTCCAGTGGAGAGGAAGTTGGAGTGGAGAGTGCTGTATGAGGAATTATCTCCACTGGTACCAAAGAAGATGGTGCCGAAGTGCCCTCCGGTATCGAGGGGTGGGCCGATGTCGAGCATGTCGTTGCCGGCGATTGTGATGGGCCCGAGTGGCGTTTGGAGGGAGAGGATCGCCTCGGTTCTGGACAGCGTCTCAAAGGAGAGGGACATCTTGGTGCCGGTGAGCGCCTTGATAGAGAGAGACGCCTCTGTGACGACGATCGGTCCGGTGCTGAAGGGCGACTCGGTGCTGGAAAACGTCTCGGCGGATAGAGACACTTCGACGCCGGTGAACGCCTCACCAGTGATCGGTGTCTCAGTGTCAGCGAGTGTAAAGGAGGCAAAAGACTCCTCGGCGTCAATGATCGACTCGGTGCCAGCCAGCTTGTAGGAGACGAAGGGCACTCATGTGTCACACAGCATTTGTGCGCCAGTGGTCTTGGTGCCGATTGCCTTGGAGGCGAGGAACGTCTCGGTGCCGCATGTGCTTGGGGCAAAGAGCAACTCTGAAATCGCGGTTGTGCTAGAGTATGCGTCGGTGCTAATGAGCGCTCCTGTGCCGAGGAGCGGCTCAGTGCCGGAGCCAGTGCCGGGGAGTGTCCTGCACCGGGAGAGGTTCTCAGAGCTGTGGAGGTCCTTGGAGGCAGTTTGGAGACTGAGGGAATGGCTGAGACCATGGATCCCGATACAGAAGGGCTTGGAGCTGACTTACTTCGGCTGTCTTTTGGCTCTGCAGCGCCGCATGTGACAGATGCCACTGAGGTCCCTGGCTTATCGCAAATACTCACCCGTGAAGGTGGAAGGGATCGCGCTGCAGATGGTCTCTTCTTCGTCTTCTTGGTTTGTTCTGCATGCCCCTTCGGTTGCCGGGCTTGGGGCTGCAGGTCTTTAGTAACTAAGAACTATAACTATAACTTCTAACTATATATGGGTATGTCTACACTACAATGTTAGTTCAAACTAACATTCATAGCCGCTACACTAGCGCTCCGCTAGTTCGAATTTGAATCGATCTAGCGGAGCACTTAGTTCGAACTAGGAAAACCTCATTTTACGAGGATTAAGCCTAGTTCGAACTTACTAGTTCGAATTAAGGGGTGTGTAGCCCCTTAATTCGAACTAGTGGGAGGCTAGCCCTCCCCAGGTTTCCCTGGTGGCCACTCTGGCCAACACCAGGGAAACTCTATGCCCCCCTCCCGGCCCCCTTAAAGGGGCACAGGCTGGCTACGGTGCCCGTGCCAGGTGCAAGCCTGCCAGCACCCAGCCAGCAGACCCTGCACCTGGCACGGATT